GTCTTAAATTTAAACTTACGGAAAAATTTATGATCTCGAAATTATTAGTTTTTTATTGCAAACTATATTTTTTAATAGTTCAAATTTAGCGAAAATGTTTCTTTTCTTTTTGCCTCCCATTAATCAATAACGTCGTTAAATCAAGAACTAATTGTAAAATACTGTAAATATTCAATCAATTCTTTATAAACCATTTTACAATTTTCAGTAACTTATAGGTCAATTTAAAAGATATTAAAAAATACCCCTTCCCTTTAGGGATGGAGTTACAAATCATGTTTAGCCATAAGCTTACTGCGGCACTGAACGTCAATATTCTTAACAACAATATAGATTAAACAATTTTAGAAAATTTTGAAAACAAATTATCATAGTTGCTGCTGTTACAATATAAAAAATCAACAAAATACCAAAAAAAAATTTTTGAAAAAGGACTGAAAATTTTATAATCTGCTTCACATTATTTTATTTAGCCATAAAATTGTCCATAATAACTGCCTAAATAAGACATAAAGTTTTTGCCATTAATTATAAAATAATCTTTTTTTGAAAAATTCGAAAATTTCCGGGTAATTTCCGTCTTTCAAAATTCACCTGGGGTCTGCCGGGTACTAGAATTGGATAAGAGCAGAGTTATACTAATCCATGAAAGCATAAATATTCTAATTATTTTTTACAAATTGAACCGATATTGGTTCATTTTGTTCAAATGGTATTGAAACATACCACTAAGTGTTAATCAAAACTGCATTTTACTTAAAAAATAATCACATAAAATATTTTTAATTATTAAAATAAAAACTTTTTTTTTTTAATTGCATATTTTATTTCATTTGAGTTTTTATTAGAACAATGCATAAGTTTTATATTATATAAAAGTTATATTTAAAAATAACTTTTTTTCATACTAACATATCAATCAAACATAAAATCCTTTTCCAAATTATAACAATTTGTTTTAAGAAGCATGCTTTAGTTATAAATATAAAATTTTAAGAAATTTTTTGCATAGAGGAAACTAGTTGTCATAAAAATTTTATATTTTATATATTTTACTCAAATTATTATGAACATTTTGAATAACTGTACTATAGAAGAGAATAACTACGTTAATTTTTCACCTGTAATCGAGGATCATTGTAAAAAAATAACATGTCATGAAAGAGTTTAAAAATGGCCATATTTCTGCTATGAATAAAATATTTTAAAGTTTATTGCTAGAAAGAGAAATGAATAGAATTGTGAATTTAATTGGCAGAACAAAATTATGAAAAGAGAATAAAATATCTAATAATAAAAGGAAAATACTTTGTTCAATGTATATACTTTGCATTGTAAAATATTATATGGAAAGATTTACAAAATTTATCTAATAATATACAAAATATATTAAATACAAATGTAAAAAATTATGTTAAGTAAAATTCAAGATAATTATGAGATAATAACTTAAATTTCATTTTATGCCCAAAGTTTAGCATAACTTTTTATGAAAAATATTTAAAACTTACACTAAACCTTAAGCAGAAAATAAACTATAATTATCTATCAAAAATTTATTAAAAACTATTAAAAAGAAAAAAAAACAACCTGTAAAATACAAAAATTAATAAGAAAATATCAGATAAATAAACATCTGTAAAAATAAATTATAACTATCACTAAACACTAAAGATTAATACTAAACAAAGTTAAAAATAAACAATTAATATAATAATAAAATAAACGAGAAGTGAAAATAAATTAAAAACAAAATTTTTAATAAAAGTTCAAAACTACTAACAAATTAGCCATAAAACATATGTTAACATTAACATTTATTAGTAACTTACAAAAACTAATAACACATACAAGTGCGATAATACATATATATATATATATATATATATATATATATATATATATATATATATATATATATATATATATATATATATATATATATATATATATATATATATATAACCATCTTCATGGAGTTTTTCGATGCTTGGATTACAACAATTCATTAAAAAAATATCATTCTTGGTGACTTTAACATAAATACACTTTCAAATGACAAACACTCTATAGCACTAAAGCAATCTATCAAAAATAATCAAATGTATATTTTCAACAGTACACCAACAAAAATATCTGAAAAATTAAGTACTTGTATTGATTTAGCAATTTCAAATTGTACTCTTATCGAAACTTATGAAAAAGAAAAACTATCTGATCATGAAATGATAACTTGTAAATACTCTATCAAAGAAAAAAGACAATTCAAAACTAAAAAAGCAAACAATAGTGTTGTCAACAGTAGTAAACAGAACTTCCATAAAATTGATTATTCTTTATTAAATAAAAACATTTCAGTTGAATTAAAAAATATAAAAAAAGAAATTGATATTGAAGTAATGGCTAATAGTTATACAACAATTATTAAAAATAACATAAATACGCAAGAAAAGTTTTATAAAACGAATAAGGAAATCAACAACAACAATCCATATATTCTCAATACTGGTTAAGGATTTCTAAATACACAGATACAGTAAAAGAATATAATCAAGAACGGAAAACATATGTTTGGTTTAAATACCATGGTTTTAGTGAAAGCAAATGTAAAATACAATATAACAAATTTAAAAAAATAAGAAATAAAAAAACATCACTATTAAGAAAACTAAAAGCTGATTACTATAAAATAAAAATTGATTCAGTCAAAAATGACCCTAAAGCTATGTGGAATTCGTTGAAATATCTAACATCTGTCAAACCATTAATTAAATCAAATATAATGGATGATATTAAATTTGATGAAGAAAATGTTATTAGAAGTTTTCAAAGAAATGACACAAAAAAATAATAAATTTTTAATCCAAAGTATCATAGATATTGAAACATCAATTCAAAGTGATATGAGTTATTATGCTATGGAAAATTTATCACTAAATGATAATATTCCTTGTTTTTTTGAATTTACTCCTTTAACTATGCAAGACTTAAATAATATAGTAAATCAATTACAAAACAAGAATTCAGTGTGTGAGCTTAAATGTTATTATATTCAAAGAATTATGCTCATCATTTTCAAGTATTCTATTAAAAATTATTAATTTATCGTTAAAAAACGGGAAAGTTCCTTCTAAATGGAAAAAGTTAATCATTCCAATTCTAAAGTTAATGTCGCCAAAGTTACCACAAGACTTAAGACCAATTAATATGCTTCCTACTTATGAAAAAATATTAGAAATTGCTGTTCACAAGCAGTTGTCAAGTTATTTTGAAAGTAATAATATTTTTTATAACAATCAATTTGGTTTCAGAAAAAATAGATTAACTGAATCAGCTATTCAACAACTACTTTCTAAATGGAGAACATCTGAGAACTCAAGTAGTCAAAATAAAAGGTGAAAAATCTGGCGAACTAGTTTGTGATATAGGGGTTCCACAGGGTAGTGTACTTGGACCTCTTTTGTTTATCATTTAGATGAACGATATTGCATCAAAACTTGAATATTCTTTTGTAAATTTGTTTGCTGATAATACATTAGTTTGTATTGAGGGCACAAACTTCGAAGAAACTTTTTTAAAATTAAATTAAGACTTAAAAATACTTTGTAAATGGCTAAGTAATAACAAACTTAAATTAAATACTCCTAAGTCCATGGCAATGCTTATTGTTAATTCAAAAAAAAGAAAAAATAGTTTAATAAACCATAACAATAATATAAAAGTGATATTAGGTGATGTGGTCATTGAATTTAGTGATAGCGTGAAATATCTAGGGATTATTATTGATTACCAACTTAATTTTAATGAACATATCTAATATATCTCTTATAAAATTGCAAAGAAAAATGGATATCTTGGTAGAATAAGCAAATACTTAACTCATTGGACCAAAAAGATAATTGCTATCAAACTATAATTGCTCCCCACTATGAATACTGTGCCTCTATTTTTCTTCAACACAAATAACTTAAATATCCTAGAAAAACTTTAAAACAAAGCAATGAGAATAATATTAAAATGTCACTGGTTAACTCACAAAACAGAAATGTTGAAATTGCTTTGTTGGATTAGTGTAAAAAACAGAATATTTTTTAAATCACAATGTTTTATTCATAATGTTACATCGACTGTAAATGATATATTTAAACCGTTCTATTCAAAAAATAGCATCAACATTACAATAGACAAGCTAGTTATTTTCATAAGAGCAGCCAATGCAATAGAGCAGGACAGAAGTCATTGTTTGTGTTTGGTTTGAAACTATACCAGGAAATAGCTGGTGGATTTGTTCAGCTAGACTATGAAAAATTCCAAAAAAAACTGCTTCAAACAATAAAGAATAATCAACTTATATGGTGAACATTTATTTTGTAAAGGGGATTATTTATTTTGTAAAAGTAACTAAACTAGCATTAAGTTGCTAAATAAATAAAATAATTAATTAATTGAATAATAATAATAATAATAGCAATAATAATAATAATAATAATAATAATAATAATAATAATAATAATAATAATAATAATAGCAATAATAATAATAATAATAATAATAATAATAATAATAATAATAATAATAATAATAATAATAATAATAATAATAATAATAATAATAATAATAATAATATATATATATATATATATATATATATATATATATATATATATATATATATATATATGTTGTTCTCATTATAACTACCATTTTTTATTCTTCTCTCAAAATTAACTCCCTTTTCATATATTTTGTTTTTATTTATTGTTTAGTACTTTTTCTAGTTTCTTTTTATTAAAAAAAAAAATTTATAAATATTAATAAAAATATTAATAAAAGTAAGTAAAAATAAATAACAGAAAATTGCTTTTAAACGCTACCGAATTTGTTGGCAAGTGATGCAGTAAGTTTGCGTAAGTGTGAACTTAATAATTGTAATCGTGGTTACGTTTACTATAATATTACGGAATCGCGCTAAGCTTGCGAAGAACTCTGGGGTCTTTAGTCACGTGATGCAGACATCCTTTTGAAAAACTTATTATGGCGGTGAAATTTGTCAGAGCTAAAAAATAGCTTAAAATTTGGCATCTTTGAAGATACAAATCGCACTTTTGAATTTGGGTACCGTTCCAAAAAATTACACATGGTACGCGCAAGAGGTGGGAGCGCTAAAAATAACAATCTTTCTCGAGCTGGTAAAGGAAAATATGTTGAGAATGCGGAAAGTAGCTATTTCTCTCCAACTAAAACAAAGAAACGTCGTCGAAGTAAGAAGCCGCAAAAATTTGCGGAGTATGCTAAGAACTTTGTTTTTCAAAGTGACAGTGACTCAGATGATTCAAACAATTCAATTAAATCTTTTGATTCCTTGACATCATTAATTAGTGCAGCTTCGTTAATAAACGATGACTTTCCTCCTATATCTTATAATAAAACTGTACATAGGTCAACAACACCTGATCCTGAGCCAATCATACTTTCACCATTGTTGTTGCCACCATCATCTGGTGATTTAGTTATTGATTCACAATATTTAATGAAATCTTTAGAAATTTTTGAAGTTGTGAGACATTTTGGAAGAGTTTTAAAAATTTCTCCATTTTCTTTTGAACATTTTTGTGATGCTTTGCATGAAGAAGTTCAACTTCCACCAGTAATAACAGAAACATATATATCTTTTATAAAAGCAATATTTGCTGAAGATGAACGTAACCAGGTTATGTATGGAAATGCTGATGAAAAAGACATTGTAAATCTTCATTTATATCTGATTGATGAGTTCACATGGCCTGAAATTATAAGATCTTATATAAATTCTGATCCAGGAAAGTTTTCTCCAAACATTATCGAAATAGTTGAAAATCCTAAATTTCCTTTTGTTTCTATCCAAGACAAATTAGATGTTCTTTGTCATTTAGCAAAGGATGTACTGAGTTTAAATATTATTCGTGAAGAAATTCAAAATGAAGGACTTTTTATATCTGATGATTATTGTAGAAAATGTGGTAGAATGGGGGATTTATTATGTTGTGAACTTTGCCCTGCAGTTTACCATTTGGAATGTTTATCTCCTCCACTTCTTGAAGTACCTGAAAATGAGTGGTTTTGTCCTATATGTGCAGAGCAGCATGTAAAAGGAGTATCAGATGTTTTATTTGAGCTTGATAGAACCCAAGTTTATCGAAATGAACAACTTGGAGTTGATCGGCATAAAAGAATATATTGGTTTATGGTCCGACGAATTATTGTGTGAGTTTCTATTGGAGCAATTAAAATTTTTGTTTATGTTTGATATGTTTGCTATTGTCAATAAATAAAAATTTTAATGTTAATTAAAACAAATATTGATAATTAAATATAAAATGCTTTTCAAGATTTGAATATCATAGTGATTCTTTGGTTTCAGGGAAGGTGTGGAAGATATATTTTACTATAGTTGTCAAGAGCATTTAGATGAGCTTATAGCTGTGCTGCGAGAAGAGGATAATGAGGTTGAACTCTTAACTGTAATAGAAGATCGTTATGAAGAAATTGTGCGTCATATGAAAGTAACTGAAGAGTTGTATAATGAACAAAAAGGTCATATTTCTATTTTGTGTTGCTAAAATTTGTGGTGAGGCACATGAGATAATTATTTTTTGAATATATTTAAAAAATAAGGAAATATAAGTGTAATATCTGTTAATATTTTGCAACATTTTAAGTTACTTTTCTTAATAAAATAAATATTATATTTTATAAAAAATTTAAGCAGTGTATTTGCATTGTAAGTCAAGCTCATGAAGGCTATGCTCTAAAATTGTTAAAACATCGTTACAGGCCAACATTACTTAATTGATAATAAATATATAAACTCAGTTTATTCTAACTGTAAGTGTAAAAAATTTTATTTTAAAAATTTCTAAAGAATCAGAGGCAATCTCCTAGTCTTGAGATATTTTAGAATCGAACTTGTAATTTGTCTTACAAATTGCTACAAATTCTTTTTACCATAATTTGTTAAAAAAATATATACAAATTCTCTAGTCAGTTAAAAATTGCTTTCTCCAAGAAAGCAATTTTTAACTGACTAGAGAATTTGTAAATACTTAATATTTAATATTAAATTGTATTTATTATAAAAAAAGAGCTTTCTTGATAAATTTTTCTGAAAAGTTAAATATAAAGTATTTAAATTAGAATGATGAAGTCAAAAATACTAACTTAGTCTTAAAATACCTGAAATAAAAAGAAGAAATGGTTTAACTTTTAAGTTTTTTTAAACTAAGAAAAAAATTAAAAAAAAAAATACTTGGCATTTAATTCTCTGTATAATCTTTACTTTAGTTTAATATAACCACTCTAATTATTATTTATTCTAACTTAACCCTTAATTATTGTTGTTTTGTTTCTATATTTCTGTATGTACTAATATTTACTATGAACGTACTGGATTTTTATTTTGTTAACAGCATAGTAATATTTGCTCTTTTTTTTATCATTTTAGGTGATCTTGTGTCGTTCTTGGAGCGCCCTAGGGATATTGGAAAATTAGTTGAAAGTAAGGATTTTATTCAATATCAACTGGAAAAAGATCAAGAAAGATTAGAAGAAGAAAATCATTTTGGTATAAAACTTGTTTTAATATTTTTTTAATTATTTCTAGTATACTTATTCCAAGGCTGTTCCCAGTTCTCAACAAATATTAAGTAGTCAGACTGGTAACAGATTGCTGTAAAATCAAATGCTGAGCCAACCTTGGCTGCCTAAATTGACTTAAATAATTTGACAATCTTTAATGATCAACTCTGACAGATCTAGTTTGAATATGCAGGCAGTTTTGTTTTCACAGATTTTTAAAAAAATATTTGGTTGCAGTTTTAAATTTTCAAATAAAATTATGATAAACCTACAAATAATCACATATGTTAAATTATCTGCTTTAAGTTTCTGCCTAATTTTACAAATAAAAATAATTAAACAAATGTATTTAAGGACTTTTTTCATTCAGAACCTATATTAAAAATTCTTTGTTTAATTTAAAATGCACAATTGTAAAAATTTGTCTTAAGGTAATTAAATATAATTAGCAAGTTACATAGTTTTTAGCTTTATAAAATATTAATTAAAACACCTATTATTTATCATTGAGTTTATTTCTTTTAGATGACCTTGAAGATAGCTCTCCTTTAAATATAGTAATTCCAGCAGTTACATTTGTTCCTGATGAAAATGTTCCGTTAAAAATAAATGTATTTACTAAAAACATCTGTATCATTGAACAATTGCTAACAAGAAAAAAACTAACAGCATTGGAAGAAGAAGTGTTAGATGTTCTTACCAGATGTGTAAAGTTAGTCACTCATAATTGTGATGGAGATAATTTGTTTGAAGTTGACATTAATGCAGAACTTGAAATTATCCAAGAAGGACATGATGACTATAATCTAAAAGATAATTTGGTTGATGAAATTGACAAGGAATATGAAAATTTTCAAAATGAAATTGAGATTAAAGACCCAATTGAAGCTGGTAATATTTTTAAAAGTTTGGTTAATGTTGTTATCACTAACAGTGTTTACATTTTTATGGCAAAAAGCAGTTTTGCTTTTATTTTAATTAATTATATATGTTTTTTTAAATATAAAGATGATTAATAAAACAATCATGTTTTACAGAATTTTTATATATCTTTTTAACTATATATTTTTTTATATTTAATTTAAGTAATTTAATAAAAATTGCATTATATAAGTTTCTTTAACAAAAAAAAACTGTATGACATAAGTTTTACTAAAACTTATGTTATACTAAAGCAGAAATAATTAGTTGCAGCATTTAAAAATGGTAACAAAGTTGTGGTATAAAGCTTAAATCCTTTCAGCGTTCAAAGGGCAATCAACAGTGATTGTTAAAATGTTGTTTAAAGATATTTTTTGAGATTGTTTAAATGATGTTTAAAGATATTTTTTGAGCTCCTTAAAACAATTCTGGTTTATGATATCAACTTGTGATATTTATATTAAAACTAGCAGTAAGCAAATCGTAATATGGGTTGTTAGTAAATAAAATTAAAAAAAAAAAACGCGAATAGAAAAGTCTAGAAACTATTTTAAAATAGAAAAGCCTAGAAAATGACGTAAGTCGACTATTACTACTATTAAATTAGCGTATTAATATTATCAGATAATCTTCTAAATTATAAGTATTAACAACAAAAATTAAAAATCTTTGTGATTTTTTATGTTTTGTAGAATTTGGTTTATATTTCATATTAAGTGCTGTCTTATAAGTAATAATCATGCTCAGTTAAAATTGCTGAATAAAAAAATGGTTTGGATATAAAATTAAAGTTGCTTATATCATTTCAGCATTTCAAAAGTTCATTTATTCAAGTTTATTTAATTTCTATCATTTTTTCAAGCTTATTTAATTTCTAATTTACTAATTGCCAACAAGAACCTTCAGGAAGTTAACAAAACCCTTTTAGAAGTTTTTTACTGTTTATAAAGCCAAAGTTTTTATTTTTTTTTTTTTATTTTTTTTTTATTTTTTCTATATTTATTTACTATGATATAACTATAATATTTAATTTTAAACTAAAACAGGAGCAATATAGGTGTTGTTATATATGTATGACAAGTACAATTTATTCAAAGAAAATTAATATAAGTAGTTAAATAATTTAAATAATAGATTTCTAAAGCACTAAAAGAATTTTTTTTTTTTTAAATCTATAATGTAGAGCTATATTTTTTGAAAAAAATATAGCTCTACAATAGTTTCTTGTAAAAATAATTTTATTTTTAGCTTAGCATTTCTACATTCATAGCATTTTTGAAATTTTTGAATCATCAAAAAATATAAACAATCGTGGTATATATATATATATATATATATATATATATATATATATATATATATATATATATATATATATATATATATATATATATATATATATATATATATATACAGGCTTCGGCAGGAATAACGGGCTATAGCCCGTGTCCGTCTCCGCACCCGT